AAATATTTTCCAAAAGAGTCCAAGTTACACTAGACTGAACCAATGGGAGATAAAATTGCTATTTGCAATTATGCAGAAAACTACAAATGAATCTGGAGAACAGAAAGTTATGTAGAAAACATGCTTTCTCCAAACTCTGCAGTGATCATCTATAACTAGAATATCTATGTATATTTCTAATATCTTACTGTGTCTTATTGTAAGTAACAAGCCTTTTTTGTCCCTGAAAAATTTCAATACCAAGCTTACTATACAGAATTTGAAGTCCTATAACTCAGGGGTCCCCTACCACCGGGCCCCGGACCGTTACCAGTCTGTGGATCATTTTGTACCGGGCCGCAAAGAATGAATAATCGTGATTAAAATATATATAAAAATATGTTTTTGCTTCCGGGTGTCTTATTTTGAAAGACAACCACTTCCGCCCTCACCTAACTTCCGCGCTTGACTCTTTGGGCGCGTATTTATCCTGCATCAGCAATGCAAGCTAGCCCTCACAAAATGAGCCAGAAACAGAGTTCAGAGGAGAGTTTTTTTGGAAAGGGTAAACGAGACAACGATGAAGCCATGAAACCACCAAAACTGCGCCGCCACATGGAGACACAACACCCAGCATTAATTAAGGTTTTTTGTTATTGGAACCTTCACGCCCCTACCCGGTCCTTGAAAAAGTGTTTCTGCGTGAAACTGGTCCCTGGTACAAAAAAGGTTGGAGACCACTGCTATAACTAATTCAGCCAAAAAGTGCAGTTTAGCTTAGATAAGCTAACTTGAGCATCAAGACAATAAATATATTTGTTGTAGTGTATTTAATTGCAAAACATTAGGAGCTCCAAAATGTTATTTTAAAAAAGCAGCCACAGAGCCTGCATTTTATAGTTTCCAAACTCTTTATCCTAATGACATAAAAGACAATTAGTATAGCAATTGCTCATGTATTATTTGCTCGTGAAATCTAATTACTGAAAATAATTGTGCTTCCCTTTTGATCTTATAATAACATCCCAATAAATGTGACTTTAAAGTACAGTAATACATAAACACTAATTTTGGATTATGTTCATCTTGCATTTTGCTTGATTTTTTTTTTTTTTATAGTGGATTTGAGTTTAGACAAAACACAGAGAAAAACCTTTAAAAACTCAAAGGACAGTCCAGGACCAGACCAATCTTAAATGTCAGAGTATAGCTGTTACATGACAGCACTTCCAATCAGATAATAAACCTCAAATTGTTTTGAAATGACTGCAAAGTTAGCATTTTTTAAAATGTTCAAACCCATAAATCAGGGGCCCAACAAACACCGAAATGTGGATTTTTATCATCTTGTGATCAGTGAATTCAAATAAAAACAGAGCTACATGTATCAGGCTGACATATTTACTTGAAAGCCACGCAACACACATTAATTAACGAATGCTTTCTTCTTAAAACCCAACAAAAATCTAGTTCCAGTAGCCGGTGTGGTATGAGCTATTTTCCACTGACAAGATTTTGTTGCATTCTTAGAACAGAAATAGGGAGAAATGATTACATAAACTTACTTCCTTCCCGTGTATAATCATACTAGGTGCCTTTCTCAGGCTGGACAAACTCCATTGATCACCCAGAATTTTGTTCCAAGTTCATAAAGCTGCCCATGGGAAACACATCCTTAAAAGTCCTCTAGTTAGATGCATAAAATATGCGTACTATACATTTAGGTCATCCCGACACGAGCAAATGGGGACATCAAGTTTGCAGTCTTGTTAATTAAAAAATGCTGCTGGAAGCATCTAATTCAGATTAACGGTAAAAAGTTTATCTTAAGGCAGCAAACTCTCATTCGAGCCGAAGCCCAAACAATGATTGATTGCTGCCAGTTCAAAAGAAGACAGGAACATGTAAGTCCTGTGTATGCACACAATGCTAAATAATGGGTCAATTATAGTAAAGCAAAATTTTGTATCCCTGAGATGTGTATTTCTGTTCTTGAAATGCCATTAAAAACACTTAGGACATCAGTACTGCAGTGTTCAAACACAGAGATAAGAACAGGGCACCTAAGCCACAAACACAACCCAAACTAAAGTCAGACCAAGGTCAGTAAACCACACCTGTTTTCCTTTCCCAATTTGGCCATGCAAAATAGATGTATGATGGGGGTATACGTCAACGCTATTAAGATACAAATGAAAAAGTAAAGCTATTAAGATATGAACAAACTAGCAGTCAAAGTAGGGAAAAAAAGTCAGCATTACAATACATTCAACATGCAGTATCACATTAAACTTTTCATGTTTAATAGTCTATGATAGTAGCTATTTCTGTGGCCACACCTTAAAGCTATCAAAACTGATCTATAATAAATCACTTTGCTGTTGCTGTTCTCAGGTAGTCCTTGAGTTATAGCTGCAACTGAGCCCAAAATTTCTGTTGCCAAGCAAGACAAAAATTTTCCTCATTTTACCTTTCTTGCCACAGTTGTTAAGTAAATCACGGTGGTTATTAAGTTAGTAACATGATTGTTAAGTGAAATCTGGCTTCCCCATTGACTTTGCTTGTCTGAAGATCGCAAAAAGTGATCATGATTCCGGGACCCTGCAACGATCATAAATACACGCCTGTTGCCAAGCATTTGAACTTTGAATTTGATCATGGAGATGTTGCAATGGTCAAAAATGTGAAAAACCGTCATAAGTCACTTATTTCAGTGCCTTAACAGTCACTAAACAAACTGTTGTAAGTCAAGGGTTACCTTTATATATTATTTGGAAGATAACCAGGTTCTACACCTCCCCCTCTCCACCATTTAAACTGCCAGTTTATTTTGCATTCTGCTTTCACAAATGTTTGTGGGAAGAGAAACTGAAAGTGAATTAACTAAATGTCCATTATAAAATCGCTGGAAGCCGCTGTTCCTTAAATTTCAAGGCCAGATGTGTTGGGCTACAGAACAAGGATTTTTCAATACACAAATGATATTCCCTCCAAAAGCTCAATTGCCTTTCTCTTTAAGCCTTTAGGCTAAGGTTTCTCATGGCCTGACTGGGGAATTCTGGGAGTTGAAGTCTACGGGCCTCAAAATGGCCAAGATTGAGAAACACTGCTTTAGGCAAATAGTCAAGAGTTTTGGAACTATTTTTAATTTTAGACTTGCTTTCGTTGCTTTTGCATTTTGCTGTGATACAACAGCAACTTTAGTGTAAGTTTTTCATCAAATGTCTAAAACTGTTTTCAGGAATTTTGTAGACCAAATGGGATACAAAACTTTGAAACGCTATAAGTTTTATATCCTATTTAGAGCCGCTTGAGCAATGAGACAGACAAAAACAAATGATAACAAATTGTTCCTATTTCATTAATACTGTAGAAACCACATCTTCTATGTATTTCCAAGTTCACATATTTTCATTCCAAATGAGGCATTCACCCAGACCAAAAGTCCCACATATTTCTGTATTGCAATGCTACAGAAACAAAAGCATTAATAGACCTATCGGCTAAATCGAGTGAAAGACATCGCAAACACACTTTCTAGAACACACTTTGAGGGAAGAGATAAGAGAACAAAAGAGGACGCCTTATCTCCCATTTTTTCCCTCTAGTTATAAAGAATGACTTTGCAAAACCGGTTAAGTATAAATAACCTTATAGAATGTCACCCGGTTGCCAAATTGCTCCTTAATCAAGCAGAACCCAAACTGAAAATAAATACTGGTGAAATTACAGGAATGAGGAACAACTAAAGGAAAATGGATTAAAGGAAAAGTTTTCTTTTTCCTGGAGGGAAAAAAAAACCAGAAGACACCAAGAAGACAAATAAAAGGAATGCCAGTATCCTCACAAATTTTGCAGAGATTCCCTTCCCATAGCCTTAAAATAGTTGCTCATAAAAAGGAGGGCAGGGAATAAGCAGAAAAAGAAAAGTAATATGTTATATAGTACATAATCCTTTTCATCCCATTCCAAAGATGTCCAAATGGAATATGAATTTCCCCAAATCCCAATTCCACAGGCTTTGGACACAACCAACAAAAGAACCCTTGTAATTCTACAGATTTGCGACAGAGGTTTTTTATAGATTATCATACTTTATCCTCCGCAGACTGATACACTCCCCAAAGACAAATAACACATAAATAGTACACAAATAAACCAAAAAAAAAAACCCCGTTAAGTGAAAATACACAAGATTATATTTTCTACCCGTGTTGATTTTTGGAGTATTTAGAAGAGCCTTATCCAACCAGATACCTCCCCATAGCACTGGGCAACAATCCCCATCAGGCACAATTCAGAAATACACCAGGGACTAACAAGGAGAAGGAGTATAAACACAGGGGAAGGACAATCTCCATAATTTCTTCTCCCTTTGGAGAGAAACCATAGTTAGATCATATCTCTCTGCCAAACAATGAAAGGTAACACCCATGCCACCAAAACTGAAAGTGCCCAGCCACCCCACCCTTTGGTCATCAGGAAGGGGCTTAACTCTTTAGGATGATGTCCTGAGATGTCCCGACACCTTTCCATCTGTTGCAAAATCAAACATCTGGAACCTTCAAAGCCATTTCACAACCTTGGGAGGGGGGGGGGGGGCGGCACCCAGAGGTGAAAGCTTGGAAAGGAGACCAGGGGTCCTTCCTCAAGCAGATCCTTTGAACCCCAGTACCCATCCTCCCCATCCTCCATACACACAAACATACAGGCACATACACACCATAAGCTTCCCTCCCTCCCCCCCCCCCACCAGGGGCTGGTAGGCTCCAGATGTTCCCTAGGAAATAAGGTAAACAGAGCAAGGAGCATACACACACAAAAGGTTGATGCAACATCTGGAAGTCGCCATTCAGGGGTTCTTGGGGAGGGGAGGGGGGAGAAGAATGGGGAGACCACCAAAGAGGGGAGACGACCCCTTCCTCCTCCCCCCCCTCCTTAAAAAAGCGTCTGGGACCCCCGGAGGCGGATCTCTCCTTGCAGGGCAGGGGTCGGGGAGGGAAGGGGGCATCTATACCCACCACCTGAGCGACCTTCAGGAGGCCGACGGGGCCGCGCAGATAGTCGCGGTCGCAGCGGAGGCCGCGCAACCCCTGGCGCTGGCTGACGGGCTCGGTGGTGGGCTGGTAGGGGCTGCCGGCGCCGGAGATCATGGAGGTGCTGGACGCCTCGCCGTCGAAGCCCTCCAGGTCGTCGGGGCTCCTCATGGCGGCCCGGGAGGCTCACTTCACGCCGAGGAAGAGGAGGAGGAGGAGGAGGAAGAAGAAGAAGAGAAGGGAGGCGGGGAAGGCGCAGCAAGCGGCGGCGGAGGCAGCAGCAGCGGCGGCGGCATGTCGGTCCGCGAAGTGCGGCGGACCGCCCCGACCTGGTCCCGCCCCCCCCCCCCCGCCCCAGTCGTCGGCCTGCCCAGCGGCCGCGTCCCCGCCTCGGCGGCCTCGCGCGCGCGCGCGCCCCCCCCGGCGCCGCCTCGGCCTCGCCCGCTGCTCCTCCCGCTCGGCGGCGAGGGCGGGAGGGAAAGTGATAGGCCGGGCGGGAAAGGAGGGCAGGAACGAGGCGGGCCCTGCGCCACTGCCGGACTCTCCCGGCCGGCTGGCGGGCTCTGCCGGAGCGGGGCAGCGCCGCCGTTCAGCAGGTAGAGCAGCGGTGGTGGTGGTGAGGGTGGGTCGGTCCGGGAGGGGAAGGGGCGCGCGACCCGGTTATACAGGTTAACGGGAGTTGGAAGGGACCTTGTAGAGGTCATCTAGTCCAACCTCCCCACAAAGCAGGAGGCCCTCCTACTGCACCATTTCTGACAGGGGGCAGTCCAGTCTCTTCTTGAAAACCTGCTTAGGAATCCATTAGTGTTTAGATTTATTTTAAGATCCTTCTTAGCATCTTAACAGCAGATGTGAGGTAGATTACAGGTTAACGGGAGTTGGAAGGGACCTTGTAGGTCATCTAGTCCAACCTCCCCACAAAGCACGAGGCCCTCCTACTACACCATTTCTGACTGACAAATGGCAGTCCGGTCTCTTCTTAAAAGCCTCCAGTGATGGACCTTCCACAGCTTCCGAAGGCAAAAGCTGTTCCATGGGCTGATTGTTCTCCTTTGTCAGAAAGTTTCTCCTTATGTCCAGGTTCAATTTCTCCTTGATCAGTTTCCATCTATTATTCCTTGTCTGGCCTTCTGGAGGAAAAAGAGGCTTTTCAAACACTGTGCACAATACATGCAGCGCTTTTTAGCTGTCCAGGTGACAAAGCTGATTTTTTATTTTTTACACATGCACACAGCAAAATGCGGTTGAATCCCACCCCTGTGTAAATCGCGTGACTATGGGGATGCTGAAAAGGTTGTAACTATGAAAAACTAACTTAGGTCCCATTTTTCGGTGTCTTTGTAACTTTGAATGGTCACTAAGTGAACTGTTGTAAGTCAAAGACTGCCTATATTTTCCCAGAAGGATCACCCATGCCAGACAGATCTTAGTGGAAGAGCTTGACTAAGATAGTCCTCTTCTTACGACTGCAGCTGAGAGCACAAATTCCACTGTTGAGCAAGGCAGTTAAATGAGTCGTGCTCAATTTGTGTCTATCCTTTTTGTCACAATTAAGTAAATCACTGAAGTGAAATGAATAATTTGGTTAAGGCAGAGGAGGTTGCAAATGGCAACCAGCTTGCAACTCTCATAAATACATGCTGTTTGTCATTTTGATCATGTGATGATGAGGCTGCGGTAACTTAAGTGTTTTTGTAACTTTGAATGTTCATTAAATAAATAATTGTAAGTTGAGAACTTCTTTTATCTATCCGCCCCTTTAATAGGGAAAGAAAATGGAAAAACCCTAACCCTGTAGGGTTACTGGAAGAACAACCACAGACAAAAAGTACACAGTGTTTCAAAATTATGCTATTATGGCCTAATATGAGTAAGTTAAAATATTGTGGGATTTCCAAATGCAAACTGAAAAAGGCTTGGCTCATAACATACCAGATACAATTGTGGTTGTGAAGAAGGAAGTATGGTTAATTGGTGTAGCAATGTCAGGGGATAGTAGAGCACAAGACAAAGAACTAGAGGAGATTTTAAAAAATCAAGATCTGGGTATAGAAGTTGAAATATTATGGCATAAATTGTGCCAGCGATTATGGGCACACTGGGAGGAATACATTTTGGGTGGCACTTAGAAAAACAGGGAATTGACATCATTTCCATCTGTCAATTGTAAAAGGCCATATTGCTTGGATTTGCATATATATATATATATATATGTATGTATGTATATGTGTATACATACACACTACTCCAATATGATATCCTAGGTTTTTGAGAAGAACTTGATGCCTTTGATGGCCTACACCAGCTTAATAAAAACTGGCAACTATGACTTCAAATTGTTGCAGACTAGTAGTAATAATAAATTGTGTCTCAAGTCCTTGCCTCTCAGCAACCTATTCCAGGGGTCTTGTGGACTTTAACTCCCAATATTCCTCAGCCAGTCATGCTGGGAAATTCTGGGAATTGAAGTCCACAACTCTTAAAGTTGCCAAGGTTGGAAACCCCTCCCCCCACACTTATTCTTCTTGTCAATCATTATGATCAATGTCACATTCACTGTTCTGGTCTTGGATATATTTCCCTTTTTTTTCCTCCCGCAAAAGTTTAGACAAGAATATAAGAGCTATGGGCAGCTAGTAAAATAACTTTGTTTTTCCTTTAAAGCAAGATATTTTTGGCGAGCCAAACTTTCCAATTCCCTCAGTTCAAATCAAGAGCTTATTTACATCTTTGCAATTTTGAGGGGGGGAAAGCAATATCGACTTTAAAAACAAAAGGAATAAATTAAATTTATTAGAGCAGAGTATTAAGTCAAGGTACTTTGAAACATGGGTTTCAAAATCCATTCATAATAATGTTGCCACAATCTACAAAAATATTCTTGCAGCTGGATGTTGAAATGAGATGAAAGCAAGCAAGTGATGGGAGGCTGAGGTAAAAGCAATCACTTCACAGGGATTGTTAAAAAAAGGCACAATTTAAAGAACTTCCTTTGCTCTTTTCACTGGGTCCTTCAATGTTCATTGAGGCTGTTTGTATTAAATTGCAGAAGAAATTTCACTACTCATTTTTAATGGCCATAATTCTGCTTTTAATTATGTTAACCACTTAAACTGCTTTCAAAGAACAAAAAAAGCAGGACAAAGCACCTGAAATTATATTGAAAAAGGCCTCAACCCTTACATTGGTTAATTAAAAAGATGTAGAATTTTTATTTGGGGGGTGTCTGCAGTTCTTTTTTTTTATATATACATACATACATAGCCATATTCCTTGATGTAGTTATTATATTTTTAATAATATTTACTTAATATAATCCTTAATAAAATTATTGCAAAAAGGGTTCCTATATTTTTATATTAGATTTCATTGTCAAAGATTAAAATGCAAACTGCCATAAAAGGGAAAAGAGGGTAACAAAATAAGTTAAAAATGAGCCTCCCAAAAAATTCAAACTAAGTTCTTGCATTTCTAAAACTAGATTACAAGCCAAGACTTTTTGTGGGAGGGGGGGGTGTTTTGTTTTGCATTAATGAAAATGAATGGACCTACTCATTCTGCATGCTGGGGCCAAAATTTATGAGAAATAGGATTGTATTCACAAGATGGGAGGCATCGTATAAAGATCTTTCTGAGTATTCCTGTCTTCCTGGTAAATTCACCACAGAGAAACTACAAATGACTTTTAGAAGCTAAAAGAAAGATAAAGCTAGAACACAAATCAGTTCACTCAGCCTAGTGTGATCAGTTCTGAATACAGTAAACATACACAGAAAGTCAAGGTGAAACTGGTTATTTGAGGATGTTTTCACCTCTTATCTCGGTGTGTTTTGAAAGCCAACTGGTTGGGCCCTTTCCAGGAAGCAGCTCACGTGTGGCTTTTTTCCCTGAGAAACTAGATTCATTTCTTTTTCGGGGTAATGGTTATTTTTAAAAAGAAAAAAAGTCCCTTGATTCAATTTGCAATTGAACTCCTCTTACTGAGAGTGCATTTTAGCAGGCGAAACATTCAGTATCAATTTCCGAGTTAGATTTTGTATCTTCTTAGAAACTAGATGCCTGAGGGTTTTGTTACCTTTTGCTTTCGTATTAAATCACAGCCACCTTAATAAGTGGTGCCCCAAAGTTGCATAAAGCAGTTCTGCCAATAACAGTCTTACAAGACGAGGATGAGGGAGGATATGTATTCATAACTATGTTTTTACTTGTACCTATTACCTTGTAAGCAATTGACAAACCAAATAAATAAATAAAATAAATATGGTAGCATAATCTTAATGTGACAGCATTTCTCAAACTCGGCAACTTTTAAGATGCGTGGACTTCAACCAATTGAAGATGTAGAGATATTCCAAATAGTGCTCAGTGGCCTGAAAATATTGGTCCACTATTGTATCAAACTTCTCCAAATACATAGAACAAGCTACAGTACAGAGAGACATACTCAATTCAACAAGGTCAGATTTGTTGTGGTTTTATTGATTTATACAGCCACCCAAACCCACGTGACTCTGGCAGCTCAATGAAATAACAAAAAAAAATAGTTCCTAATAAACCTAAACATTAAAAAGCATTAAAAAGCCAATTTAAAGTGTTTTAAAAACCATTTTACCTTTCTTTGTTTGGGCTTGGACTTTCTATTCTAGGGAGCTGTATGTTTTATCAATGTATGTTCAATTTTATTCTTGGAAAACAATTCATAACACTGCAGTGCAATGACGTTTGAAATGCTGCTCCATAAAACAGATGGTTTATGCTGCTAATGAACATGATGGCTTCTCTTTACCGCATCTTGATTAGAATAAATCTTCTTCTCTTTAAATGCACAGCCTCTTTAAACAGATTATCTCCCCCACAGCTTACTTTAAAATACACTGCAGACAACATGAGGAACTACTTGCAACTGTTAAGTGTACTTGGAATATTGACTGTATTGCATGAATGGCCTCTCGAACAGGGGAAGAAAATGACTTAGAATGTCTCCCTTGGTGAGTGACAGCTAGTGACAAAACAGGAATTATTTAGATGATAATCTGTCAAAAAAGGACCAGGTTTACAGATATTTACTATTCTTATTTTCTAAGAAGGTTTAAAGACTTCAGAGCTATTCTAGGGAGTATGATGATAGAACTTCAGCTAATTTTATACACTGCCTAATCTTCAAATTCTGGCAGCTTACAGCATTTGACTAAAACATTAATTGAACCATAATAAAATACATCCATTACATCAACAAATAACGAAGTTACAAACTCATAAATCTGTAAGTTAAATCCAAATGCTCTCTTAGGGCTATTTTTGACATCTTTAAAAAAAAAAATTAAGACCTGGCACACCTAAATGGGGAGTTAGAGGGCTACTACTGAGAAAGTTAATCCAGTATCCAGATCCTCTGAGGCTACAGCGTCTTTCAGAGAGGGCATCTGAAATATCCTATTAGAACCACTCTGTTGGGATGGATCTTGAAGATAACACTTAAAAGAGCCATGCAATATAGCAATATGTTGCATTCATTTTACTTAGAAAAATATCCCAAAATAGTCATCGAGGCCCTTCAAAGAAAGTATAGGATTTTTCTACATTTAGAATATGAAGCTATCTCATATTCACCAAATGAGGTTCAGCACATTAGAGGCCTGCAGCTTTTGATTTGTCAAGAAACCTCCATAACTGTCCCATTTTTTTGGTCTATCTTAAAAAGTTAGAAATGGGATTTGGGAAACTGTAGGAACAGTTACAACTCTCATTTTCAAACCCTCCCTCCAAAACATGAAATTAATGCACTTGAAAGCTAGCAACAATAGTTGCGCACTTTCGGAGGGGGATTTTAAGGGTGGAAACCTTTTGCCTTCCCCAAAATCTGCCATTAGTATCCTTAGTCAGGGAGGGGAAAAAATCACGTGGCTGAAAAGTAGACATTCGTCTGAAGAATTTCAGTGATGGGGGTTTGTGTGAACTGCATTCTGCCCCTCTAGAATTTCAGGCAGTATTTTCTCTGTTTGGGGGACCACGTCATCTGCATACTGTCCTTCCCTGGTATGCTGAATGATTCTGCCTCTCTAGGATTTCAGACAGTATTTTCTTCGTTGTTCGAAGAACATAGTCCTTTCTATGGTCTCAGCAAAAAGGTTAAAAAAAATTACCCGCCGTAAGAGAAAGCTAATCAGTCTGAACACATGTCTATATTTAGAGTTCAAAATTTCATTTGCTTCAATTTATCATTCTTCAAAACGGCCCACCTTGCCAAAAGAAAAAAAAAAAGTGACTCAACACAGGTAAGTCGTCTTGGTTGGTGTTTATTTGAAGCCGTTAAAGACATGTCCTCATTTTTCGCCAGCACTAGAAAGCAAGGTTCCACAGGACTGCACCTGTTTAAAGCCATACAACTGGACTAAGGGTTGTGCTGGATACATCTGCAGTCTCCACTGAAAAGTTAAAAACATCAATAAACTGAATACAGGAGAGAGAACTTTCATTTACAGCATGGGTATGGTTAAGTTCAGTCACTTTCAACATGTTAAATTAAATACGTACATACAAGTTGTTTAAACAAGTTTAAAAATGCCAATAGAAGTGCAAACTTAAAAATCAAGCAGCATAAAACAAAATTTTGGATGGCGGGCCAATCCTTAACTGATTTATATTTGCCTTATCTTCAAGTCCAATATATTATTACTTTAGTTTAAACGTGAACAGCAGATGCAATTATTATATGCAATATAAATAGAGCCAGGTAGTAATTCTAACAGTCTTCCATAAAAGTGAATCCTGAAAATAAACGTAATGGTAGTTTTAAACATAAAGGCTGTTTTGCAGTTGGCCTTTGGTTCTAATGCTTGAGAACACCAGAAAAGACAATGGTGCAGGGTTCCAAAGTTGCTAGACTTTGGCAACTGACAAACATCACTTGCAGTTTCCTTCTTTTGAAAAACTAGGAGCATTCACTTGCAAAGTAGAAGAGGGGGGGGAGGGGCATTCCAAATTCTGTTTGAGTCCCAGTGATCTTTGCATAACTGGAAAGTAATATGTTATTAGCCTTTTTTATTTTGCAAACCCAATGCTCATTTGATGCAAATTTTAAAAAACCCTGTTGTCTACAGCTTTCAAAAAACAAGTTAATTAACTTAGTGCATGACAAATTTATTAATAAGATCAGTTGGGCCTTGAGACCTAACTAGTGCTCTTAGAACAGCAGCAAATGATTTGTTGTGTTTTCCCCAAGCCCAGTTTGATTTTAAGGTTTTATTCTCCAGAATTCAATGAAATCATCCGGCTGTCATAATCATCTTCGGAACGGCTAACCCATTAAAAACAAAACCCACCACCCCATAGCTGTCACACTCCCATCTGTTTAGATCCAAGCATAAATTCAATCATCTCAATACACTCACTGGTTCTATATGTATCAATGGCACCAAAACTTTACTTACTGAATAGGATATACTTAAAGGCGCTGCCATGAGGACAGATTGTATTACTACTACTGGGATGGCACGAGGCTAATTTTACAATGTAGCAAAACCTACGCTGGCTTGTAAATGGCAGCCCAAACGCAAACCCAATTCCCTGATCACCAACTTCTGAGTTTAAGAGCCAGGTAACGTTGGTCAAAACTGAGTTTTATAATGTAGTTGACCATATATTGTTTAAAAAATGTAACTGACATAAGTAAACATATTTTCATGTTAATGCAAGTAAATACTCTTAGTTTTCTAGCTAGCATTAGACAGACTTACAAAAACGAAGAGAAATGGCCTCTCTCTACAACATGTGGGTTGCAATTACATCCAGTAATGTGTTAGTGGTCAATTTATTTTGTATATTTAACAATATATATAGATATAGGTATATAAATATTAGGGTGGTTCTATTCAGAAACAAGATTTAACGTAACACAAAAAACCTTTGTATCAATACAAAGTCTGCATAATCCATGGTGGTATATCCCTCCAATGTGTTGCTTACAAACAAGTTTGGTACAAATAAGTTAGTGTTTGTCTGTCAAATAAATTGTACAGAAATTCAAAAGTGCCATTTCAGTTAACTGTGGGAGTCTTACTCCAAGCGGCTATGGAAACTCATCTGAGCAGCAACAGGGGCCAACCGTCAAAATTATTTCCACATTTGAAAAGGCAACACCGAAGGGGTAAAGCACAAATGTAATGAAGTCACGTAAGTCTGCATTCTTTTTTTTTTTTCTCTGTATACCTACAACCCTTTGTTTAATCCAATCTGGAACCAGAATTTTGGAGGCTACCCCAAACTCACCATAGGGGTTTTAAAGCCTTAAGGCAGAAAATCAGCGTTGACCTTTTGCAATTAACTCTTGGATACAAAAGAAAGATTTGCGTTTCCATTTCACTGCAGAGAAATGACATGTCCCTCATTCCTCTTCACAGGCCAGATGGTTGGTATTAAAAGAAAAACGAAAAGAAAAAAAAAACTATCAGGGGGAGGGAAAAAAAAGGATGCAAAATTCAACCCAGCTACCAAAGTTACCGGGTTAAAATTTAAAAGAAAAAAATATTAAAGAGACACTGTTTGTACAATAGTGCACAAGAGGTTCAAGCACCTTCGAGAAGAAACATCTCACACTGTGCCAGGCACTTGGTCTGAACAAATTTCTCCCCGTGTCAGTTACGACAAAAAGAGTACCCACCATACTTTATGAATCTTCCTATTAGAACTGGAAAAAAAATGCCATTGGAATAGTTTCCATGATGCTTGTATTTTCTGTTTCCCAATTGTAAAGGCATTTATTTTTATTTTTACCAACATGATTATCTGATTTACATCCAACGTGCTTTTCGCTTCTATTGATCAGGTCTTGCCTTTTATCCTTTCAAAACACCGCATTTTGTACACACTCCTCATCCAACCCACATTCTGCTACATTGCACCCTCTACAAACACAAGTACGCATTTCCATGGCCAACTCCAATTAACTTGGAAAAAAAAAGAGAGAGAAGAAGAGGACTTTGCGCTTCCTCCGTGCCAGCAGCAGCTCGTGGCTTTTCAGCAGGAACTCCACCTCTTGCTTCTGTGCGCTTCTTCCTATTGCTTGAAACCAAATTAAGAGAAATGCCCTATTTAAACTCTAAAATGGTTATCATAAAACAGAGGAAATTTAGACGCAAAACTTCCTGAATGTGCACTTGACACTGGGACAAGCCAATGAAGGTTAAATTTCATTTCCCCAAGAAAAAACTGAAAGCATCTGCCACAGCAGGAAGCTCCTGGTGTTATCAGGTCAATGTACATCACTATTTGGTCATTTACATATGGAGGTTCAAAGATTCTCAAGCTTCGTTCTCCGTCAGAGAGGAGTTGGTTGTTACGACTGAGTCTGGCTTGCGAGTCATTCTATCCAGCTCTTCTTGGACGTTCGTCAAAACGGGTTTCTGCCCTGTAAAAAAAGGAAGGCACGGTATACGGATGCAGAAAATCGACTCAAATCACAGCTGCAAAGTACTGCATGTAAATGGGCCCGATTAAATTAAGGAGAAATGGCTTCTTTTGGACGGTACCTGATTTTTTGCCGGTGCTTGGCACTCCTCCTCCTCCTCCTCCTCCTGCACCGGGACTCCCGGGAGAACCTGTCTTTTTACTCAGGAGGCTGTTGAAGAAACTGGCTAGGACTCCTTCGCTTGCGGCATTGTCTGAGGAGAAAGAGGCACACTGTAATGACCTGGGGCGTGGCACAAAGGCAACACAGTCACATAAGCAAAAAGAGTCCCTTTATTATCTCCAACTTTGCCCCCAATGTCCAGGTTACCTTCAGCTGGAGAAACACTCTCCCAGGAACAGCCTTTAACTGGACAAATTCAGTCCAAAACAAGGTACATACAGACTGTAACTAAAAATCCAAACAAACCAAGTTGCTGTAATTAACTTGACAAGTCAGGAGAAGGACTTTCAGACTTGAAAGCAGGGCAAAACTCAGAGTTGGGAAGATGCCAGGAATGCAGATAAGCCATGACAAGATCAGATAAATTCATGATTTGCTTCCAATAGCTTGCTGCATGCAACTTCCCTTGTAAACACTGTGTTCCTGACTGCAGCTATGAAAGAAATCAAGGCCCTTTCCTCCCCCATAAGCCAGGCAACTCAGGTTGCTCCCTTCCCTACGTGCCCTAGGATGAAGAGGGGATGGGCCTGGGTCTTCCTCTGAATTCCCTCTGCCTTGCTCTACCTCTCCCCTGCTCTGCTCAGCTGGACTTCCTGCCCTTCCCCAGCGTCTTCCACAGCCAATGGAGCCACACTCCCCCTCCCTGTCAGCTGCTCGGCCTCCCCCTCCAAATCAGTCTCCGACAGGGGCATGACACATGCACACACAGAAAATGGGCAAAGGTGGCATACCGACCCTTAAAGAAATGGACTTTCAAAAGAGAAGCTGAGAAATAAAAGAAGAAAACCCATGACGCTGGCATCTTTCTGATGACAAAGTTTATTATATGGAAAATGTTGTGTGAAGGCAAATAGACGTGTCCCAGAATATTGTTACAGCAGGACCCAATCTGGGACGGTCACCTGGACCAGAATGTTACATTCTGCTAGAGAGAAGTTCCCTGAGGGTGGGCTCCAGCTCAGGTCTGAAAGCTTGGAAGACTAAAACCTTTGGTCCTGGTGACAGACCCAGATTGGATCCTGCAAAAGTAAGTGTGTGTGTGTGTGTGTGTGTGTGTGTGTGTGTGTGTGTGTGTGTTTAACAGACAATGACCTTCTTGTTGCCCCTTTTCCCCATTTCGTTGCAAGGTCCTTTTCTTTTTGCATGAGGGTGACTTCTTGCAGAAAAGCCATCGGGGCATGATGCAACAAGGGGCTCACTGTCAAAAGGACGCATGCTGATTGGGGCTAAGGAGGGCATAACTGGTCCAAGATAGCCCAGATGGCCTCTGTGCCTTTAACCTCTAGCCCAGCACTTTGACCACTAGAGTACATTGGCTTTCAGATAAAACCATAATATCCCTCAAAACATACTACTTTATTATAGCTTCAGTAGTTAACTATAGCTATATTTGAGTAACGTAAGCTTAGATACTTGAGGGGGGCAAAGGGTCTGCTGCCTTTTCTAGCTGTAGATCCACTATTGTTCCCAGAACACCTTAGCTTTTCTAAAACGTTTTTATCTCCTTGCTTGGGCATGGATTTATTAGGAAGATACACCTCTAATTATTACATCCCGTATCCAATGAAGGATTAAAGCAGGTGGTGAGACTTGGGGGATTTTTTTTTAACACTATAATTGAAAAAGATTTTTTTTAAAAAAAGAAATTACATTTAAGAGATTCAACTTTTTTCCCCCAATGGCAACTTTCATTATGCTAATGAGCAATGTAGCAGTTCACACACACAAAAAAAACAACTTTCCAAATATCCCCACAGCCTTTGAACCAACAGGCCATAAAATGCTGCACCCAGGCAAAGTTCAAAAAACAAAGCAGCAAACAGGTGAACAGCATACTTTTAATAGCCGGGTCCGGCTTCTTGACGGATGCTATTGGTGAGGCGCTGGGGACGGTCGCAGGGCCTGTCCTGCCTTGCGGTCGGGGTGAGCCAGAAGGGCCACGAGCGGGAGATTCCTGACAATAATAAAAAGCAACAGGATGTAATTTACTGATGTCATCTTTTTTTTAAAAAAAAAAAAACCTTCCCCAGTTATGATTTTTGAAAGCTGTGCACGACAACGAACTGAAGTCACTAATAAAATACAAATTACATTTGGTGCAGTGCAATCATTTGCCAAACCATTTCACATTCCCAAGGACGTTCAGTGGTGGATTACTCTTAACGGTCTCCTCTTTTATCTGACTATACTGCCTTATGGAAGGAATGGAACCAATTTCAACTATGTATACTTACAGAAGCTCTGGTAGGGGTTGCCGGCTGCTTGGCAAGGTATGACTGAAAGAAAAGTCACAGTACTGTCAACTGATTATCCAAAGCACCACAATACACCGTTATATTTTAGAAAAGCCTTTTTCCTGCTGAGATTTTATGTTGTTAAAAGAGGAGAGGTGACGTGGCTGTAACTCAACCTAGTGCTCAAGGCACCATGCTAGAAAACAGGAGACTCGTGAGTTCTAGTCCCGCCTTAGGAATAAAAGCTGGCTGTATGACTTGGGATCAACCCCCAGGAAATTGGGCTAGTTCTAGTCTTACAAGAGTGAGTTGCGCTGCGTAAGAAGTTTTTGATATGTTGGCTGCCTTGAGTTATTTATAAAAATAACAAAGGCAGGATACAAATTCACTCACTCACTCACTCATGGAGGCACAATGTACAGTGCTCCAGATGTCTGGGAACACAAATCCATCTAGCATAGTGAAGGAAAGTGATAGATGTATTTAGCAACATCAGGGTGACTGCATATTGTGCACCTATGCTATCTGATAAAAGTGAACCAGTCACTAGTTTCAAATGAAAAAAAAAAAGAGTTTCAAATGAAAAAATATATATTTCTAAATTAAAGTTCGAAAGTACCCTAAGGAAACAGCTCATCCATGAACTAGAGAAGCCCCATGTGACCAGACACAGTGATCTCTTTCACTGCATCAGAGAACTACAATCCCAGGAATTGTTTTGAGAGAAAGTCACCATGCAAAACAAGAGAAAGCGATGCTTTCGCTCTGCATATAAGTTCTGGGAACTATTTTTCTCCCTTGGAGCTTTGCACCCTGGTCCTTCTGGCAAGGATTCTGCTCACTGGGGATTCATTGTTAGGACTTACTATCACAGGAAAAAGAGGAGGATTCAGGTCTGTAGCGGTAAGATAATAATGCTAAGTAGATAATAATGCTATGTGGAGAAGACCAAGTTGATGTTCTTCTAATTTGAGAAAGGAGGTTGTTTTTAGGTGTAGGTTTAAATGTTTTGAGCTTTACCTGCCAGCAAACCATGAAGATGGTTTCCTGCAACTGTGATCAAAAAGGGACGCAAAGGCTACAAAAAGGGAGCGGGGGAGAATTAGGGGGCTGTATTGAGACCCAAAGCCTCATGAGGCATAGAACTGTTTGAAAATATCCTAAGCACCAAAGATAAGCAAAAACAGAAAAAAAATATGCTCTTTTTCATTTACCTGATGCTTCATCAGAAAGACCTGCTCTTCTTCTGCCGCAAACTCTTTATCGTGAACTAACTGACAAGGGAAATAAAAAGGAGAAAAAAAAAAAGGTTTTCTCACAAACAGATGTTCGGTTATCTGAAATTTATCTCCATTGGAGGGTGGGGGAGAGGGGTTATTATACACCTTGACATCTGGTGTAATAAATGCAAGAAGTGTGCATGTGATCTTAGAAAAACACACACACAAGAAACAATACACAAGGGTGTTCTTCCCACGCGTACAAATTTAGACCCCACCCCCCAACCTGGAATATGTGGAAACTGCAGACAGAGAGGAGCCGTGTGCAAATAGCAATCGCACTTAAGACTTATATACCGCTTCACAGTGCTTTTCAGCCCTCTCTAAGTGGTTTACAGTCAGTATATTACCCCCAACAATCTGAGTCCTCATTTTAACCATCTTGGAAGGATGGAAGGCTGAGTCAACCTTGAGCCTGGTGACATTCAAACTGCCAAATTGCAGGCAGTCGGCAGTCAGCAGAAGTAGCCTGCAGGACTGCACTCTAACCACTGTGCCACCCTGGCTCAGTGTCTGGCTATGGTAGCACCTTCCTTTCCACTTCCTTACCATGGTGTTTTACAGTTAGGAGAAGTCCTGCTGAACAGACACTGTGGCCTGAGATCAACACAGATTAAGAGGGCCCGGAAATGGCCTGTAGACATTGCAAGGACAACCCCTTGCAAATGACACCCCCTCATTTTCTGTGCAAGGAAAGGGGTGGCACGGTGCTGCGCCGTTCTGGGAAAGCCCCTTTTCTCTATATACAAAAGCAGCCAATGACTTCTCTTACTGCACAGAGAGATTGACTGTCTCAGATACAGCTGAGGAGTGATCAGCTTCCAGAGTAGGAACTGTAGGGACTAACTCCCACTTCTCGATATGCATTTTTAGACTGTATAGGCAGAAGCAGCCACAGCCAGCATATGTTAGATGCTGATGGGCTACAAAGACGGCTGCCAGGCTGATAAACTTAGGCAAGTTAGAAGGAAGTGTCTTCTGGATTTCTCCTGCAAAATTATGTGCCTGAGGCAGGGGAGACATACATCAAAGACCTCCTCAGAACTCTTCTATGTCTCAGAACACTCTTCCACTCATGGTTAGTTGGATCTGAGCCATTTTATTCGGGTCTTTTCCATACCAAACTACAATTCCTTGCCTGGGGTGAAAAGTAGCATTCTTTTTTTTTATAAGCGCTCTTTGTTAGTCAACGGAGTCCCAAGAAGCACTTCTCAAAGTATTTCATGAGTGAATAGTTAGCAGATTCAATACTCCGAATTGCTGGCGCCAAACAAGTTTACCGTAATTTAAAATATGAACTTTAGTGTTAATGACCAGCAAGTGGCTTCACACGAAGGATAATGGAACAGAGTTCAAAGCAGCTGTACCTTTCTTACGGGTGGCTTTACGATGAAGTCTTCATATGCATCTTCTGGTTTCACTGTTGTGAAATTCTCATGCAGGATTGCAATTTTCTTCTCATTGTCCCAGCCAGCCGGTCTAGAGAAAGAATTACCATTCATGCAAGCACATCTTTTCTCCAGAAATGTGTTTTGGACATAAAGGCCTGGTTTGCTTGCCTTTTATTCCCCTTGAAAAGAGACACTTGTTAAATTGAGGCAGGCAATTTATTTGATGGACAGGGAGGAGGAGGAGGAGGAGG